TTCTGGGATCACCCTGCCCCTGCCCACCACACCCAGCACAGCCCCAACCTGAGCATTCCACCAGTGTTCTGGGATCACCCTGCCCCTGCCCACCATACCCAGCACAGCCTCAACCTGAGCATTCCACCAGTGTTTTGGGATCACCCTGCCCCTGCCCACCACAGGCAGCACAGCCCCAACCTGAGCATTCCACCAGTGCTCTGGAATCACACTGCCCCTGCCCACCAGAGCCAGCACAGCCCCAACAGAGGGCCTGATGGGATCTTATACCTAGAAAATGTAAAGACTCCTCTGAAAAAATTATCTGAACTAAAAAATAAATTCAATAAATTTGGAGAATACAAAAATAACATAAAAAGTCAGTAGTGTTCAATACGCCAATAATGAACCAGCTCAGAAATAAATTTAAAAGACAGTCCAATTTATAATACCTATGAAAAAATACATAGAAATAAATTTAACTAAAGAGGCATAAGACTTCTATGAGAGAAACTATGAAACACTGATGACAAAATTAAAGAGGACACAAACACATGGAAAAACATTCCCTGTTTATGGACTGGAAGAATTAATAGAGTTAAAATGACCATACTATCCAATGCAATCTACAGATTAAATGGAATCAAAATACCTATGTCATTTTTCACAAAAATAGAAAACAATCCAAAAATTCATAAGGAGAGAATAGCCAAAACAATACTAAGCAAAAATAATAAAGCTGCAGGCATCACGCCATCTAAATATAAGGACATGGTAACCAGAATAGCTTGGTTTTGGTATAAAAACAGATGCATAGAATAGAGAAATAAATCCACCTATTTACAGCCAATGGATTTTCAACAAAGGTGCCAAGAACATATACTGGGGTAATACTGGATGGTGGGGAGAAAATTGGATATTCATATATAGAAGATTGAAAATGGAAGTTTTAATGAATGGAAAGAGACACCATTTTTATGGGTTGCAAGATTCAATAATGCAAAGATTCAATTCTCCCCAAAATTATCAATACATTTAATGATATTTCCATCAAAATCCTAGCATGCTTTTTCATAGAAATTGAATAGATAGGCAGTGCCTGTGGCTCAGTGAGTAGGGCACCAGCACTATATACGGAGGGTGGCGGGTTCGAACGTGGCCCCAACCCAACTGCAACAACAACAACAAGAAAAAAACAGCTGGGCATTGTGGTGGGTGCCTATAGTCCCAGCTACTCAGGAGGCTGATGCAAGAGAATTGCCTAAGACCAAGAGCTGGAGATTGCTGTGAGCTGTGATGCCACAGCACTCTACTGAGGGCAACAAAGTGAGACTCTGTCTCTAAAAAAAAAGAGAGAGAGAGAGAGAGAAATTGAATAGATAATTCTAAAATTTAGAAAATGCAAAAGACCTAGAATAACCAAAATTACTTTGAAATAGACAATATTAATGGACTTACATTAATTGATTTCAGAACCTTTTATAAAGATACAGTTATCAGAGAATGTGGTATTGACATAAAGATAAATAAAAATATCTATGGGAATAGAATAGAGTTTAGAAATAGATATACACATATGTTTTCAATTGTTTATTGACAAAGGTGTTAATTTTATGGGAAAAGATAATCTTTCCAATACATGAAAGGAAACAATTGGATAAGCATATGCAAAAAAATAAATTTCAAGCCTTAACTTACGCCAAACACAAAAAAAAAAAAAACTCAAAATGAATCATATCCTTAAACGTAAGAGTTAAACTATAAAATTTCTAGACTAAGGTAACTACCAGAAGAACTAAAATCACTTTACCACAAAGACATTTGCACCAGAATGTCTATTGAAGCTCAATTCATAATTGCCAAGTCATGGAAGCAACCTAAGTGCCCATCAACCCATGAATGGATTCACAAACTGTGAATAATACTATTCAGCCATTAAAAAGATGGCAACTTTACATCTTTTACATTTACCTGGATGGAGCTGAAATATATTCATCTTAGTAAAGTATCACAAGAATGGAAAAATACATATCCAATGTACTCCATACTAATATGAAATCAATATATAAACAACTGCAAAATCATAAAAACAATAAAACACAAATACAGTGTAGTATGGGGGTAGAGAGCAGGGGGAGGGAGGAGGACAATTGGCAGAAGGAGGGAGGGCATGAGGCAGGATCTCACCTAATGTGCACATTGTGGGGGCGTATAACAGCAGTTCTCAACCTGTGGGTCGCGACCCCTTTGGGAGTCTAACGACTCTTTCACAGGGGTCGCCTAAATACATCCTGCATATCAGATATTTACGCTGCGATTCATAAAAGTAGAAAAACTACAGTTAGGAAGTAGCAACAAAAATAATTTTATGGTTGGGGGTCACCACAACATGAGGAACTGTATTAAAGGGTCGCAGCATTAGGAAGGTTGAGAACCACTAGTATATAACATCCCCCCTGGGTGAGAGACTGTTTTACAAATGGAACTTTACCCTGGAAGTGAAAACAATGTAACATGAAAATTTGTAAACCTCATATTAATTTGAAATAAAGAACAAATTATAAAAATTTCTAGAATAAAATATGAAAAAATTTTAGTAATTTGGGGTTTGGCAAAGATGTCTTGATTGCAATCAAAAGCACAAACTGTCAAAGAAAAAACACCGACATGACTTTACCAAAATTAAAACCTTTTCTTCCTCACTGTAAAGGAAATGAAAATCTAAGCCACAGACTGGATAAAGACATTTTCAGAACATTTATCTGACAAAGGTCTTGTACCCTTGTATAAGAAACTATTAAAGGTCAATAGTAGAAGATGAAAACAATTAAAAATAGGCAAAATATTTGAAAAAAATCTTTCAACAAATAATATATCTAAATCACAAGTACATGAAGAGATATTTAATATCAATAGTTAGATAAATTAAAATTTAAAAACAAAATGAAATACTACTACTCATTTATGAGAATGGCTAATATAAATGTTGGAATATAAAATGGTAAAACCACTTTGGCAAATAGGACATTTCTGAAAACTAGACCTTTTACTCCTAGGTATTTATTTACCCAAGAGAAATGAAACATACTATGTATGTGTCCAGACACACACATTTGTACACAAATGTTCAAAGCAGGATTATGTATAAGAGCCAGAAACTGGTAATGATCCAGACTTCCATTACTGGTACATAGCTAAACAAATTATGGTATAATCATGTATTAATGCTACCAACGGGTGGACAATTCTAGGAGGCATACTACATGTTTCCTTGAGTCCTGGTAAAATCAAAACCCTTGCCTATAGCGGGGGCTCTCTACCTTGAATTCCCTAACTCATTCTTCATGCTCTTTTCTGGAATAATTTCCCAAATATTCTGCCTTCATTCAGGTTTGTCTCAGGTTTTGTATTGTGAAAAAATGAAACTGAAACCACATATTCATTATGGTTAAATGAATTTAAGAGCATCAACATGACAAAATATTATACATTCATTTTAAAACGTTCCCAAATAGTGACACAAAAATTTCACATAAGGTGTAGTTTTCTTTAAAGGATCCAATGGATATATAAGATATATTAACAATCATGCAAATTGAAAAGGAAAAACTATACAGAATAAGTTCCATATAAAATTTAGAAATTTCTAAATTTCTTATACAACCTGGTATAGTACTTTATCAAAAATATTTGTTGACTAAATGAACGTTATTGTAGGCAAACTGTCCAAAGAATAATACACCAAAAATATAATGTGCCAGCTTGGCACTTGTGGCTCAAGTGGCTAGGGCACCAGCCATATACACCTGAGCTGGCGGGTTCAAATCCAGCCCCAGCTCACCAAACAACAATGATGACTACAACCAAAAAAAAAAAAAAAATGGCTGGGCATTGTGGTGTGTGCCTGTGGTCCCAGCTACTTGGGAGGTGGAGGCAGGAGAATCACTTGAGCCCAGGAGGTAGAGGTTGCTGTGAGCTGTGGTGCCACAGCACTCTACCCAGGGCAACAGCTTGAGGCTCTGTCTAAAAAAAAAAAAATATATATATATATATATGCCAACTATCTGTCAAAATCTTTTTTGGTAATTAGCAAATCAAACCCATAACACATTATAGGCAAGTAGAGTTTATCACAGGAATACAAAGACGGTTCAACATTAGAAAACCCATCAAGTAATTCACCATAGTTTTAAAAACTGATCTTCATGGCTCGGTGCCTGTGGCTCAAGCGGCTAAGGCGCCAGCCACATACACCTAAGGTGGCGGGTTCGAATCCCCAGCCCGGGCCCACCAAACAACAATGATGGCTGCAACCAAAAAATGGCCAGGCGTTGTGGCGGGCGCCTGTGGTCCCAGCTACTGGGGAGGCTGAGGCAGGAGACTCGCTTGAGCCCAGGAGTTGGAGGTTGCTGTTAGCGTGATGCCATGGCACTCTACCCAGGGGGATAGCTTGAGGCTCCGTCTCAAAAAAAAAAAAAAAATTAATCTTCAACATTAAGTAGACATTTAATAAAATTCAATGCCCACTTATAAGTTTTTAATCTTAGCAAACTAAGAAAAAACTTTAACTTGATAAAACATATGTGCTAGAAACATATCTTTACACACAAGACTGTTATACGCTGAGGCTAGACCATTAAAGAAGAGAGACAACAGAAGTCACAAAGTTTACAATGTAGTAAGAGAGACTGCTGAGTGAACAGACAATAACACAGTATAGGAAGATGCTATAAAACCAGAGAATTAGAAGGTGCCACAGTAACATAGGAAAATAACAGACCTACTTTGCTGGAGACAGATCAATAGTCATCAATAATAAATACCTTCTAGGCAAGGACAGAGTTATTTTCATCTTTGTATCACCCAGTATCTAAGGCAATGTCTAGTGCATGGTGAGTGTTTGTTAAATATTTCTTAAATGAATGGACAAATGGACAAAATGAATAAGCACTAGATTCTTTTAAATGTCAGGTACAAAACATCAACATATTAAATGTTTATTGTAAATCTGATATCTCCTAAAAAGATCATTCAGGTAGAAACACAACACTATTAACATAACACAAATATGCATACATCACACACACATTAGCAATCCTAAACACTTACGGATACAAGGGATTTGTGTTGGCCAGTTTTAGCGTGTGTGTTTTCACAGGTTCCACAGCTATTAACATATCTTGTTCTACAGCCATAGGAAGAACAGAATATCCACAGTAGTCTATATGCTCTCCTAGAAATAAATAGAAACCATTTTTAATCATTACTAGCACATGTAACAAAGAACCTCAAGTAAACTGACATAAAGGAAAAACTTGGCCATGAGCCAGGTTTTAACAGAAAATTTAAATCTCACAGGCATAGAGTCATTTAGTTTTTGTTCCCCCAGAGAGCTGAGCCAGGAACTTCTGCTTGCCATAAGTATAGTAATTATTATTTTTTGTGAATTTTTGGACTTTTCTACCTTTTAACTCATAACAATTAGTTTCAAATATTAATGGCATGAGTTTATATAAGTATCAAGCAAATTAACCTCTCTTTTCTGTGTTGCTCTTTCATATTAACTTTTTAAATATGAACAATTGAGGCCTTTAATGCACGCATTCTAACGTTAATGTTATTTGAGTCCCCATTACTTCCTGACTAGCCAGCAGCTCCCTAAAGGAAAGACCTGTGCTCTACTTTCTTCTCACCCTCTCCTTTTCCCCAGGCTCCTATCCCTGGCCAATCCCACTCATAATGGCAAATTTACCCTGGGAACAGAAGACCAAAGGAGCCCACTCCCCTTCATTGGTCTCTAAGAATCTGTTCCTTTATCCTCCTTCCCTGACCTTCCTTTTTTTAACCTTTCAGTGCCCACTCGCTGCCCTCAGAAAAACTCCTCAACTTCTAGCCCAGTGGTTCTCAACCTTCCTAATGCCTCCTAATGCCGTGAGCCTTTAATACAGTTCCTCATGTTGTGGTGACCCCCCAACCATAAAATTATTTTCGTTGCTATTTCATAACTAATTTTGCTACTGTTATGAGTCGTAATGTAAATATCTGATATGCAGGATGTATTTTCATTGTTACAAAGGGGTCACGACCCACAGACTGAGAACTGCTGTTCTAGACTCATGAGAGCAACTGTCATTCATCTTTCTTCAGTACACAGACCCCTGTGATCTACCTGAAGAAACAAGACTATTTTGAGTCAAAGAATCCCCTGAAAGGATGTACAGGGATTTCTGTTTCCTCCTCCAGTTTGAGCAAGTCAGAACCTCTCGCAGAACTTTTTTTGTTTCTGGAAAAGCTTCACTTCCTTCCCAACCCATACTTGTGCAATAGAAAACCTGATGGACTTCATGGGAGACAATCCCCTGGGAACCAACTCCCCACCCAGACAGGGAGGAAGACACTGCCGTGCTCTCTCATCACAGCCAGGTCCTAACGATTCCTAGAAACCAAAGTGCTTCTCCAAGATGATTTGGGACTGGAACCAGGCAGACATGAAGCTGTTCCAGGAGGACGCAGGAAGGAAGGCCCCATAGCACTTGACCCTGTCTCACCTCAGTTATTCCCATGTCCCAACCTGTCACTCCCAATCTGTCAGGGGTCTGAAGGGAAGTGGTGCAGCATTCTTCCCACCAGCCCAGATACCTGGAAAGGGGCCAAAGTTTCTCTGCGAAAGTACCAGTGAAGGTATAGATATGAGAACAGTCTGTGACATTGTAAAAAGACAGTGTGCCAGCCTCATAGTCAAGGAATATGCCTACCCATTTGGGTTTCTCCTTGGCGTGCAAAGGGGTAAAAGGTGTGGTGGTGGCTGCATATTTGTCCCCGTTCCACAGCCGCGCCGGCCAATAGCCAGTCTCAGGGAGTGAAGTCAGCTGGCCCTTTCAGCTCACGGAGTCCTGGCACACACCCACTGCCCAGTGGGTCTTGTCACCCACTTCTGCCTCCCAGTCGTGTCCACCTAAAGTGAAACCCTTAGTAGGCAGGACCCAAGGGTAGAAAGTGAAACGCCTTGGTGTGTCAGGGAGGTCTCAGAGTCTTGTCTCCACAAACTTGATGCTCTTGTGATCCTCTGACAGGATTAGGTTAGGATGAGCCATCTCAGGATCCAGGGTCACATCCACAATTAGCTGTTTAAGGATTTTCCTGAGGGCAAAGCACTGTTGGAAAAAACTGCTGAAGTTCTTTTCCAGCTCTATGGATACTGAAGTCACTTCCATGGTCTTCACCTTCTCACATTTTTCCAGGGTACTTTTGACATCCTTAAGCATCTTGAAGCCCAACTGTAAGCACTCGCCTTCCACCTCAGCAGCCAAGTGGGGCAGGTCCCAGCACTTGTTCCCAAGGTGAGCAGCATTTTTTCAAAGTCGGTGTAGAATGTCCTGTTCCTCTTCTAGTTGTGAAAGCAACACCTGGTGCTTTTCATCCAGTTGCCTATGAAGTTCTTCCGACTTCCTTAAGATCTGCTGTTGGCAACTGTCCACTAGGCTACTTCTCCTCAGAGGATTTGCAGCACTCCATCTCCTGCACCTTCTGTTGCAGGGGCTCCAGGCACCTTTGCAGTTTTTCCTTGTATTCCTGTGTGGCATTGTCCAGTGGCACAACAGTATGGGCCTGGTGGGTAAGAGAAATTGCACAAAGCAAACATACAAGCCTCCTGGTCCTCATAGTAGATAAAACTGAGGTCCTCATAGTAGAAAAGACTATAAATCCTTCATGGTGCTGGGGGCAGATGTTCTCATCCCGGATCTTCCACTTGACAGCCTGAAGTTGCTTGGCAATTTCCACCATACTGCCTAGTTGCCAATTCAATTAGGCCAAAGACTGTGGTAGCAAAATGTCTTTTGACAAACAGGACAAGGGAAGTCCCTCTTTAGGTCCTCCCACCAGTGGGTGCTGCAAGCTTTGCAGAAGTTGTGCCCACATTCAGTGACGACAGGTTCCTTTTCAGGCGTCCTCAAACTACTGTCCACAGGCCACATGGGGCCCGCCGAGGACATTTATCTGGCCCACCGGGTGTTTTTGCCACCACTGCCTGTCCTGCTTAGCAGCTGACTTGTCCTGGGGCCTGCAGTCCAGCCCTCCAACAGTCTGAGGGACAGTGAACTGGCCCCCTGTTTAAAAAGTTTAAGGAACCCTGCAGTTTAGATATTCCAGGCACACAGAATAGTTTGCCTCCCCCTGTAAGTTCTCCAGAGCTGCAGCTGTGGAGGCTGCAGAGACCCCAGCCTCTAATAGACTTGTCTCTGCCATTATTTAACTTCCTGGCTTTGGGTCTGGGAGTGCGGAGTGCAAGTTTTTGACGTTCTCTTCCTACTCTGCTGTTCCTAGGCCTTTTCCTGTACTTCTGTTCTTCTTAGGTTCATGCCACATTCCCTCCTTCTGATTGGTTTTATCTATGACTCCCTTACATACTTCTCTCACTGAAGACTGAATACACTTGGTTTCCGCCCCTTCTATTCCCCTGCCAACGTGCATAAAATAAAATGACCCAGGCAAAGGCACTCACTTCCCTATTTCTTGACCTCCAGAGAACTTGACCTCTTCTCTGCTTTAGCTGTGTACTTCCATGGCCTTAAGAAATCCAGTAATGACCACAGACTTTTTTTTTATCACTTGGAACTTCTTTATCTATGAAATTTAAGTCTGAAATTTGATACTCTCTACCTAAACTTCTCATCCTGCCATTTCTTTCACTCAGTTTCTCTCACTCACCTGATTTTTGAGATTCAGTCCTTTGTCCTCACTACCCTATAAGCTCCCATCTACCTTTCTTTCTTTTTCTACACAGCATAGATTCTAAGGTTTATTACTTTGCTTGCTTTCCCTCCAATATCACCAACTTCCTTATATCATTGTCATTTTCTTATAAACTCTGTCCAAAATAAAATCCCAAACCTATGTAAAATTCAAGCAACTTTGGCTAATTGGGGGTTGGGGGGGTTATACAAACTTTGTAGATTGCTACCACTAGTGATTCTCCAGCTCTACCAGATCTCACTGCAACCCAGCAAAACTTGTTTTTCCAGTCATTTCCCTTTCCTCATCTTTTACGAAACTATTTTGAAAGGTCCACCCTCTTCTTAGACTGTCAATCCCTTTAACGTTCCTCATAAGAACCCCTCGATCTTCTATATAAAATTGTAATTTACATACATCAACTTGCATCTTTTTCTTCCTTGCTACCTGTTAAAGGAGTCAAAATGTCACACGCTGCCGCATGCTCTGTCCTCTCAGAACTTGAGGACCAGCCCACCTAGTGGCCCTCACCACCAGAAAGGCCATACAACCGTCTCTACAAACACAGTCTTGACCACTGAGGCACTTGCAGATACCACTGACATTAATTATAGTCAAAGAAATCACAAGGAGACCACAGTACTACACCTACCCAGAACCAAAGTGAGCACACCCTATACAACAAAAAATAGATGCAGGCTCGGCGCCTATAGCTCAACCGGCTAAGGCACCAGCCACGTACACCTAAGG